AATCTAATCTATTTTGTTCTGAACTATATTTTATGAACTATTTAAATAAACTAGTGAGAAGATAAAATTATTAATTTGCTTTAAATGTTATGAAGTGATTGTACTTTATTATATTGTTTCATTCTGTTTCTTAAAAAATTTATTGTTTGGGTCCAGTTTCATTATAATGTTGAATAGCTATGATTTATCAGACAAATGATTAAGTTAGATACCAAGTAGAATCTTTACAATATTTTTTATAATAACTACACAAGTTACTGGTTTCCTTCCAAATTATGATTATTCCGATTGTTCATTTAATTCTTTATTAAGAAAATGTGTATTTAATTATTTAAAAGATATTTTTTTTAAAAGTCAACCTATAAATTGATGATAAATAAATTAAAATTTATAAAATAGGAAAATTATTACTTCTATGAAAATAAATTCTGTATTGCATAATTCAACTTTCTACATAAAAATCATGGAAAATTTCCAGATACATTTCATGAGTAAAATTTGAGGTAAAAGAAACAAAATTAAATAAAAACGAACACTCCTAGAAATATCGCGAAGATGAATAATCTCTTCCTTTGACCTTCGAAAAATTCAAATTGAAATTGATTTCAAGAATTTTAGATAGTGACGAACTATTACCTATTTACAAAAGTAGAATAAGTTATATTTCAGTAAACAAATTCAAAGACTAATAAAATAACCAATTTTTTGAATCAATAAAGAGAATAAAATGTTTATTGCTCGATATCATAAACTTATTTGTGATATCATTATTCCCAAATGTCATAAGATCAGCTTTATGAACATTCCTAATTTAAAGAGCAAAAATTTCATGAAGTACATTTGAAATAAAAATCCTTATTTTGAGAGAAATTTTCAAATGATACTTAAACTAAACTATCTTATCTCTTTGATAATTGTGTCCATAAAAAAATGCATTCAGCTATTCTTGATAGAAGATAGTTGCTATCAATTATGGACAAAAGTACTGCCTTAAATTTATGAGAAACTCATTTTGTAAACAAATTTCTGTTAAATTGTACTTAAAGGATAGATGCCTTCTAATTCAGTTTTTCAATCTAATTAAGATGTGGCTTACACAAAGATGCTCTTGCAAGAGAATTGAAATTTAGTAACTTATCTCACTCATATTATATAGTGAGAAGAGATACAATTTTTGAAGCCTAATGAACAATAAATCTAAAAGTATATGGAAGCTAACTAATTTTATTCACTAGAATTGCTGTATGTATGACTGCTTATCTTAGACCTCATTGAAGAAAAAAAATCTACTTTTAAAATGAGATACTTTAAAGATCCCTTTCTAACATCTTTTTTTTGGCATCTACTTTAATTAACTGATTTAAGATTTATAAAGAGGAATTAGAATTAAAATGCTCAATTGTAAATTAGATAAAGGGACTTTCTTAGTAATTAAATTTGTAAATCTTAATTAATTTACAAAAACTTAATTGTGGAACTCATACTACAAACCTCAAAATGAAAATTTACTTCCTCTTATAAAAGAAATTTAGTTTGGCCTAAAATGGATCTTTATACATAAAAAAAAATTTAATTTAGAGTTTGTAAAGGAGTAATCTCTATTTGCTTTTTCATTATGTAATAGTTTTTATTTTGCATTCGAATTCCTCTCAAATACACAATATATACCATCTTTTTTCTAATTTTTAATCCTTATTTAAAAATTTCTTTCATTAATATATTCCTGTTTAATTAGATAAAATTATTTTATAATAATATTTTCATATATTTCAATAATACTCTAGATACCTTACTTTAAGGAATTCCTATGCTTTATAAATTTAAATTATTAAACTCTTTGAATATCATTATCTTAAAATAATTTAAATTAGAAAAGCAAAAATCTTATTAAATACAACCATTATAGGTAGGGATTCATATAGTTGTAAATATTATCCAGTGCATGATTTAATCAATAGGCAATAAATAATAATAAAATGGAGAACATTTTGTAATTATTTTTTAAATGATTATGTTGAATGTTTAAATAATAATTTAATAAAGATAGAAAAAAATAAATTAAAAATACCAAAGTAATAATTGCAATCAGTACAATTTTTTAAACATTTAATAACTTTGGCTATTAATCTCAAAGTTATTATTAAACATATGTGTTTTAGATATTTTGATTATAATATTATGGATTTAATTTATAATTAAATAATTTTATTTTTATTCAAGATAATCTTCGAATATCACTTTTTCTAGATTAAATAAACTACTTCTAAGCATTGTCTAATAATGAATAATAATTTTTTAAGTTATCTAAATCTACCTAAAACATAGTATCAAAATTCACATTGTACAATTTTGATTATTAAATTAAATCTTAAATCTAATTTCCCACTTCTTACCCCAATTTTATCATGTTATTGATATCGTTAATAAATAAATCAATCAAACCATTTACAGTTTTTTTTATTTGTTATGGTAATGCAGAAACTTTTGGATCTAAATAACTTTTTGAAATAAATTATTTATTTTTTACTTTTTCTATAAGAATCAAAATATCATTTTTAATATTTTCTAAGATCTTATTATTAGATTTAGTATGAAGAACATAATTATATAAATATTTTAACATAATCTCTTGTTATTATTAAATTACTTAAATTAATTCATCTATTTATTTTTTATATTAAGAAATAGATTATTTATCTTTATCTTTATCTTATTAAACTTTTTCATATACTTATTTTTCAGTTTCTTTTTACATTTAAATTTATATTTTGAATTATTCCATATTTTTTATATGATTTTCTTATTGATTTTATTAAATTTATTATATCATTTATTTAATTCTATTAATTTCATCAATAATATTATTATGATTTTATTATTTTTATAATTAATCGTAAATTTAATTAATTTAAATTTTTAATTTATTTATTTCTTTTGAATCTATTTAAATCTATTATAATTTATCTAAAATATTAGAATTAAATGATTATAATTAAATCTTTTAATTTTAAATAATATCTTATTATTCTTAAATTATCTTTTCATTTTATTAAATTGTTATTTATAATACATTTTCTTAAGATTTCTATTAAGTAATATTCTAATTTAATTATATTAACTCTTCTAATAATTTCTTATAATTCTTTTCTTATTATTCAATTAATTATTATTTAATTTATAAATCATTTTATTATTATTATTATTATTATTATTATTATTATTATTATTATTATTATTATTATTATATTTCATTTTATTTAAATTTATCTATTTATGTATTTTAAACTTCTATTTTAATTTTGAAATCATTAATAATTTATTGTTATTTTGTTATTAAATTGTCTTATTCTAATTTTTTAATTTCTAAATCAGTTATATTTTATTTTTATTATTAAATTATATTAAAAATATTTTCATTTTTATTATTTTAAATCTAATTTTATTAATTATTATCATTTTTTTAATTATTTAATGTATTTACAATTTAATTTTAAAATAATTAAATTTATTCAGATATATTTTATTAATATTTATCTTATTGATCTTATAAATATTTTAATTATTCTTAAAAGTTTTATTTTTCTATTATAGATAACATTTATTAAAGTAAATTATTTTATTCTAATTATTTTTATTCTTAATCTTTTAATTATTATTATATTTATAATTAAATTTATTGATTAAATTACATTTATTAATTTATAGGATTTATTTAAGCAAAATTTATTTACTATTAAAATTATTGATTTACTTACATTTTTTATTATTAATTGTTTTAAAATATCAAATTCTTATTTAAATTCTAATTAACAATTATATTATTAAAATATTCTGTTTACATTTAATTTAATTTACATACTACTTCTTGAACTGTTAATCTATCTTTAGGATTATATTAAATCATTTATATTAAAAGACTCTTTAAATTTTAAGGTATATCATTCTAATTTAATTGATCCTCCAAAAATTTTTAATCAAACTATTAAATTTATTATGTAATTGTTTTATGATTAGTTTCTAAATGATTAATTAAAAATGAATACCTTTAAATAATTGTTAATTTGACAAAACATAATAAAATACACAGCCTAGTGACCATATATCTACAGAAAAAGTGTAACCATGACTATTTTAAACAATCTCAGGTGCTTGATATGGAGATGCTTCTTGACTAATAGTATTTCCTATACCAAAAGAATTTCTCACAAAACCAAAATTAATAAGTTTGAATTCATATCCTACTATAACAAAGCTTTCAGGTTTAATATCTTTATGTATTTACTTTAACTCATGTAATTATTAAATTGACTAAGATAACTTAAAAAATTAATTAAAAAACTATACTTAAATTAAAATCTTAAGCTTATATTACATTTTTAATTACTGATATTAATTTAGATATTTAAGTAAATCTTATCCAACTTCCATAACTATAACATCTTATTTATTCCATTAAAAAGTATCAAAAATTTTGATTAAACCAGAGATATTTTTCATTTATTAGGTTTAATTGTATTAATTTTCATTAGTAATAAGATTTCTAATAAATGAAATTTCATCAGGATTAGAATTTTATAAAAATTTCAATGCAAATTTATTTTTATCATTAATTCCCCAATCAATCGATTAACANTCTTTATTATTTTAAATCTAATTTTATTAATTATTATCATTTTTTAAATTATTTAATGTATTTACAATTTAATTTTAAAATAATTAAATTTATTCAGATATATTTTATTAATATTTATCTTATTGATCTTATAAATATTTTAATTATTCTTAAAAGTTTTATTTTTCTATTATAGATAACATTTATTAAAGTAAATTATTTTATTCTAATTATTTTTATTCTTAATCTTTTAATTATTATTATATTTATAATTAAATTTATTGATTAAATTACATTTATTAATTTATAGGATTTATTTATGCAAAATTTATTTACTATTAAAATTATTGATTTACTTACATTTTTTATTATTAATTGTTTTAAAATATCAAATTCTTATTTAAATTCTAATTAACAATTATATTATTAAAGTATTCTGTTTACATTTAATTTAATTTACCTACTACTTCTTGAATTGTTAATCTATCTTTAGGATTATATTAAATCATTTATATTAAAAGACTCTTTAAATTTTAAGGTATATCATTCTAATTTAATTGATCCTCCAAATATTTTTAATGGTAATTTAACACAAGGTTTTAGACTTGCTAGATGTTATTTGCTATATTAAATTAAAAAAAATACCATTAAATAAAGTTTACCCTTTTAAAATTTCAAAAAATACACAGCCTAGTGACCATATATCAACAGAAAAAGTGTAATTGTTTTGGCCTTAAATCTATTCTGGTGCTTAAAAAAATGGTGTTCCTACATTTTATGTCATAAATCGATCTTAAGGCTTTTTAGCTAACCCAAAATCAATTAGTTTGAACTCATTTCCTACTTTAATAAAGTTTTCAGGTTTAATATCTCTGTGAACTAATTTTAAGTTTTCATGAAAAAACTAAATCGATAAAGATAGCTAAATAAATCTTATGCTTCAATACTTATTTCATAATTCTAATTTTTTCTTCTAAATTAATTTGCTATTTTGATGTTAGATATTTATATAGATCCATTTCCCCAGTTTCCATTACTATAAATACCTTATTATTTTATATAAATATTTCATAAGTCTTTATAATTTAAGATGGTGGATTGGACTATTCATTTTAGTAATTGATTATATTATTTATGATTGCTTATTCATTTTCATTAATATTTGTTTATTATTTTATGGCATATTATTTTTGATCATTTATTCCCCAATTTATTGCTTTGACTAAATAAACCTTACCTTAGGATCCTTCTCCAAGAGCAGTTTAGATTGCAAATTTTCTTTAAGGAAATTTATCATTTGGTGCTTCAATCATTGTGTATTGGAGTTGTAATTCTATTGAAATTATTAAAATTATTATGTTAATTATCAAATTAAATTACTCATATCATTTTACAGATAAAAGTTAATAATAAAAATTACAAGTTTCAAGCCATATAGATAAATATTATTCTTTATAAGAAGAAATTTATCAAAATTAAATAAAATATTGGTAAAACCAATCTTATATTAATGAAATCTAAAATCAACTTAATGAAAATTATTTAAATTCTGAATAATGTATGTGATTATATGTATAATTTAAACATGAGCAGTATACAAAAATAACTAAATGTATTAATAACATTTAAAAATAATTTATTATTTTTTCATTTCATTACTATTATCTTATTATTATATGTATAAAGGAGATATTTATATATATTGTTCATTAAAAATAGAATGATATATAATAAATAGTTTTAAAACCAATAATAAATTAATTTTTTAATGATTTATAAAATATATCTTTTTATAGACCAGAAATTGATTTATATTTTATTTATTCTAAAATGTCTTTAAAGTGTGATGACTTTTGCAGGATAATTCTTATCTATACTGATGTTGTCTTAATTTCTAATATTAGATTATCAATAAATTAAAGTTGAATAGTTTTTAAATTTATTGAACAAAATTATCAATTAAAATATGATTTGATTATTGATTTCCAAATCAAATAATATATTTAAATATATTATACTTTCTCCTACTTTTCATATAAGCAAAGTTATAAGTAGGTTTGTATAAATTAAAATTTTTGTTTTGCATATTTCTATTGGATTAAAATAATTTTATTTATTTATATTATTATTATTCTCTATAATTGATTATCGTTCATTATAATGTCGATAAAAAGCCACTCTTTCTAACTTAAACTTATTCAGATTATTTGTAATCTACGGTTCTTCCTATATTATCTTTCCTTTCAACAACAATTTGCTAAATAAAATTACTATATTACTTTAACTTCTTTAACTTCTCCCTTCTTAATAGATTCTAATTCTGCTTCAGTTAACATGAGCTTTTCTTAAGTTTCATGATACTCTCTATTAAGAATAATGAATTTTTATTTCCATGTTTCTGCTTCCTTATTTTTTAATAAATATAAATAAATACTTTTGAAAGATATGTCATTTTTTCAACAGTTACTTCTTCATGTGTAGTCTATAATTCATCAATATGATGATGAGCATCATCTAATTCTCCTCTTAGTAGATTAATTTCAGATTGTAATTAAGAAATAATGCCATCCTATTTTGTTATTTATCTCTTGATATAAATGATGATTATTATACTTCTCTTTCAACAAGTGTTGTTTATAATGAAACTAAACTTGAACTTCTGGATAAATCATTTTTTTAGATTTGAGCTCTGAGCTCAGAAATAATCCTATCTTTTTATGCATTATTATCATGTTCATGTTCTAATTACATTTTAACCATACGTAATTCTTTTTCTAATTTAGTTATCTACATAATTAAGGTGATATTTAAACTTATTCTGTGTCTGTGACAACTTCTTTTACTATTTTTACTTCAGGTTATCTCATTTCTAATTCCATAATTCTTGCTCTAAGTAATTCAACTTCTTTATTATTAACCTTCTTTTTCTTTTGTTTCTTCACTTAAGGACATGGTTAATAGATTTGTTATTATGGCATAAGTAAAAAGGTTGGTGGATGGTAAGTGTACTGACTATAGCATTTCTAATAGATTTGATTAGATATAGGTAAAAAGAATCGACCATCAACATCATAATTATAAGGAATTTATGGAGTTTCTTAATCGTAGTTCAATTAGTCTGTTTCTGGATTCATTAATAACTCAGAAATAAAATAAATTAAAAATGAAATTAAACGATCAAAAAAGCAACAGTCAATTAACTATTTTTCCTTAAGCTTACAATACAAATATGACTGCAGCATATAAATACTTATCAAGAGAGTCAAGTGTAATAAAAAATGATAAATCAATTTTAAAATCTCCATCATCTAACTAATTACTTTGTGCATCAAATAGAGGAAGTGATAAGAAAGTGAGAATTTAGGAATCTGCTACTAAAGGTTCAATTCAATTTAAAAGTACAGCATAATTTGGTCGATCATCAACAGACTTAATTTAAGTACCACCAATGAGAAGTCTTAACAGAGAAGACAGAGAAAAGCTTATAGCCACTCTAATTTAATAGGTTAAGTAGTAGAATTAATTAATTGTTTAATTGGAAGATAGAGTGCAGTAATAAGCAGAACAATTAGATGAGTTAAATCTTTATAATGAGAAATATGAATAAAAAGAGAAATGTTATGGAGAGATAATTTCAAATTAAAATAAAATAAATTCAAGAAGTAAAAAATAATTAAAGATATCAATTAGTTTAATAGATAGCAGAGCTTAGAGAATTAGATTAAAAAACACCTACAAATGATCATTTAGAACTTTTAAATTAAATATATGAAGATGAAGTTGATATGGATATGGCAATTAAATGGAGAAATGCTAGATTGAAATTTAATTTTTTGGATGCTTTATAAAAGGCTACAAAATATTCATAAAAATTAAATCATATTTTATTAAGAAAATAGAATCAATAATTGAAGGATTATTTTATAGAATGGAAATTTTATATTAAAAATAAAGCATTATTGAATTAATTTAATGAAGTTAGAAAATTAAGGACTGTAATTAATTTTTGGATGAATTGGAAATAATATATTTAAGATAAAAAATAGTATAATAAGAATCTTAAGATATCAATTTAATTTTTTAATTAGAATTTAAAAAAAAAATGTTTTTACAATTTGAAATAGAATTATCTGAAATATAATTTTAGTTTGAAAGATTATTAGTAAATTACTTAATCTGCTATATATGAATTTAATAGAATTAAATTGTTTAAAGTAAAAATCTAATATTATTAAAGGTTTTCAGTTAATGGACTCTATGGATTAAGTAACAGAATTAAAAATAAAAAATTATTTATTAACACATAAATAATAGAAGAACTAAATAAATGAAAGGAGTTATAAGGTTTTTAAAATAGAATTGTGATTTTCATAAGGAAAGAGCTAATAAAATAGTAAAATAAAGAGGAATTGTTAAATTGAATAAGTTGTTTAACAAATTAAAATAAAATTGGAAATAAAATAAATATAGAGAGAATCAAATTAAATTAAATAGAAATTTCTTTATAAAATTAAGACAATTCAAATAATGGATAAGAGAATATTAAAAATTATCCAGATTAAATCATATAAGTAATAAAGTTATAGAGAAGAGAGAAACATAATTTTTATAAAGATGTATTTGTATTCACATTATTTTAGTATTCAATTCTATAAAAAATAATGCAATTTATAGAAAAATGAAGAGATAAAATGAAATATTATTAAATAAAAAATATGATAATAGAGTATTGAATTGGGCATTTATGCATTGGTTAAGCAATCTCTTAAAGAAGAAGAATTTATTAGTAAAGGAATAAAATATTGTTATTTTGAAATAAAAGGATATTGATTATTAGTAATAAAATGATGTAGAGAATTTAAAATAAATGTATGATAGTGTTTAATAACAATTACAAAATTAGGAAGAATAAATTAATAATTATAAAATATTAATATCTAATCAAAAAGATGTAGAACATGAATTATAGATGCAATAGTAATAGATTATTTAATAATTAGTGATTATTTGAAATAAGAATTAATGACAACAAAAGATTAATTAATACATTATTAGATTGAAGGAGATGAAGTAAGAATCTTAAAAGAATAGTATGCATTAGCATAATAATAATTAAAAGAATTGAGAATGTAATAAAGATGTAATATTTAAATATAATTTGATAAAGTGGGATCTCCAATTAGAAATTTATAGAGTAGTGGAATAAATGTTGATTAGGATTAATTAAGAAAGCAAGTAGAGATCAGTTCTACATTACTGAATGATTAGAAATAAGAATATAATCATTTGCAAATGGAATATTCAAAAGTAGTTGGAGATTATGAGAAAAAGATAAAAGACATAGAGAAATATTTTGTGGATTTGTGTGACAAATAAAAGTTGTAGATAGAGAGATGTAATTAAACCAAAATATGGTAGTATTGAAGGAGAATTAAACTATTAAAATTGAGAATCAATAGAATGTTGTTTCTAGAAATAAATTAATGGATGAATTAAATATGATACATGAATCCTTTAGAGAAGAGATCCCATAATAAAATCGTACAAATTTTTAGACTCAAGATTCTTATGAATAATAATAATAATTTGGAGGTTATAATAGAAGATTAAAATCAAATTTATATAGTCAGACATCACCAATTTCAGAAAATTAATATTCTCAAAATTCTCCTTAAAAAAAAGTATAGATTGAAGATAGGTATATATGATATGATATCATTATTAAGAAGGATAAAAGAAGAAGCATGTAATTTAAGAGAAGACATAAAAAGACGATTGGCTTCTTTAAAAACTCAAATGGATTGCTAATAATGAATTTTTTATAATATTTTTAATCTATGAATAAATACTAATTATTGAAAAATCATATCTAATAATTGATACAAAAACCTTAAACAACAAATATTTTGTTTGTGAGACATGGATAAACCAATTAGAATTTAAGTAATACGATATGTGGATGGACAGATAGTAGAATGACAATTAGAGGTATAATTAAATTATAAATAATATTGAGGAAGAGAATAGGCTAATCAATTATTATAAGCATTATTACCATTTCGTGATCAATTTAAAGGAGTATATACATCAGATTTGAGAAGAGCAAAAGAGACAGCTTAAATAAGTTTAGGATTTCCTCATGATAGTCTAATAATTGAAGATTCACGTTTAAGGTTTATATATAATATTACACAAGAGAACTCAATTTTGGAAAACATGAAAATATTGCATATTCAATGCTAGATTAAGAAACAAAAGATATTATATTCACATTTTAATACCAAGCTCCAGGGGGAGAAACTTGGTAACAAGCTTAAGAAAGGGCAATGAAATTAATAAGAGAGAAATGCAATTAGAATGGAACATATTTGATGTTTTCACATGGAGTAAATTATTATATAAATTAAAAGGGATTGATTTGTAGTATTACATATGATTTGGGGTTACAGAACTCAATAAGTAATTGTGGTTGTGTAGGTTTAGAATATGATTAATAGAAAAAAGAAATGAAATAAATATTATTCAAATGGGATTTTCCAGAGGAAGAAGGTGAATAAGAAATATGATTTGAAAATATTTATCTATTATAAAATTGTATAAATTTAAGTCTTTGAAATTATAATGTGATATTGTAATAAAAGAGTGTTAATCATCTTTAGAGTTAGAGAGATGGAACTAAAATATCAAATGGAATGATTGAAAGATTAGAAATTATTTAAAGTATCAATTAATAAAGTATATGGAATCATAGATTAATTACAAGTTAATTTTATTGATCTTAAATAATACAATCTTCTTCATATAAATATGATAAACAATTGTTTATGTATTGAATATAAATACTCTTGAAATAATTAATTAATTATTTTCTTTGGAATTTCTATTTTAATTATGAATTACTCAATTTATATTATATTTACAGATTGTTAAGATCAATACAATATTTTACAAGTAACAAGACATGATTAAAATTAATATAAAATAAGTGTGAATCATTAATGGTCTCCACCATATTGTTTTTTAAATTTTTTAAGGTTTTTACACTCCTATATGTTTGGATCATTGCTATAAAATATCTCTAACTATTTAACATCCTGATGGTAAATAGAAAAAAACTGAATATAGAATAATAGCGCATACATATCCAAAGTATGTTTCAGAATCAGTATGAGTGTAACACCCATACCCTTTGATATGATTATTTCTGAATTCTCCTTTGAAATAACTATAGTCTGGCCAAGTCATCAAGCCTTCTCCATGCATTAATCCTTATTTTACTTATCCACAATATCTAAAATTGATTAATATATTTACTTTCTTCCATCTGGAAATGAATACTATCCTCTCCCATCAATAATTCCACATTTGAATTACCCTTCATATTTAATTCCATTTTTTCTAACTTCTATTCCATTACCTTAGAGTCTGTTATCGATCCAATATCCTGAATAAAATAAAAAATCTACCTCTAACTTCCTTTTTTTTATTTTTAAATATTCCAAATCCATTAGCTTTATTCTCAATTAGGTGACCTTCAAAACTAAAAATAATTGATTAAATTACACATCTCCATTTGAATAAATCATCCTTGCTGGTCCATTAGCCTTATCATTTACCCAAACACTAACATAATTCCAAAATATTTTACCTTTCCAAATAATTTCCATCTGTCAACCAATGTTATTTTCCTATTCCATTTCTAACTCCATTTATCACCAATCCATAAAATAAAGAACCATCAGAACATTAAAGATATTTGTAATTAGAAGTATTAGTGTCAATATTTTCTATGGCCTTAAGAGTTCCCAATTCATTTATCCTTTCCTAAACTTCAGGTTTCAATTAACCCAAACTTGTAATCTCTTGTCCGATATTACAAAGAGATTAATAGATGTCCTCTAAACTATCTTAAGTATTTATGTTCCTGTTATCTTCAGATTATACTAAATGAGCATACTTCTATATTATTCAGCCATATTTATTGATAGTTAAGTGCTTTAAGTTGATGGTTTCGAAGATTTACAATTACAAACACAACCCATTTTATAATATGATATATATAATTATCATTTTATATAAAACAGAAAGATTATTTATATCCTTCTAAAATTAATTTATTAATCATATTAGATTTAATTAATGTCCATGAAGCACTCTTTAAATTAATATTAAATTATCTTTTTTGTTTCTAATTTTTAAATAATTTATATTTCATCCATTAAATATTACTTGCCTGAATTGTATTTTAAGATTCTTTCTTTAATTAACCCTACTATATATCTTCAATATATATCTATACAACAAATTCAACAAGAATGATAAGAGTTAGTTAATTATTTCAAAGTGTAGTAAAATTTATTTTTGAAGATCATTAATTCATTATTATAATTATAAATAACTATTTATTAAAATCTACTGATTTATATATGTTTTAAATTTATTAATGAAGTAAAAAATATTTACAAAAATCTAAAATAATTGGATTAAGTTAAGCTTAATAAAAATTCATTTTATTTATCTTATTTTAATTATTAATATACCACTTACTTCACAAAATTAATTTTATGATTATTAATAATTATTTGCTTATTAATCATGACTTAGATGTAATTACCTCTCATCGTCCTCCAACAAATGCTGTCGAAGATTAATTTAAACCTTTTAATAATACAAATTTCTCAAGAACTTTTAGAAATACTCAACTTCTTCGTAAATTAGACACAAAATAAAATTATATGAACATGATGTCATAGACAAAATTAAAACCTCTAACAAAATCTTAAAGCCTCATTTGTTTAAGTCTAAAGACACCCATTTATGAGGCAAAAGAGAAAAAAATGGAACTAGCTAATTTGAGGTTGGGGAAGCGGATGAAGCGGTAAGCTGCATGTTAAACAGATTGCTTTGAAAATAATATATTTCTCAGAAAAACACACTCATATAATTGTAAATATCAAATTACAAATATTAATTAGTCTAATAATCGAGAAAAACTGTTTTCTCTGAGACACTCTATAAATCTAAAATCGACTTTTACAAAGTAGATGAATAAACAAAATAGAAATGATAATATTTTAAATCCTTTTATATAATTCAAAGATTATCAATAAACTTTGTTAAGAAGTGAAGCATTTTTTATTCATCTCCTGGATTAATCTTATTTTATAATAAATCTGCTTTTTTTATTTTTCCATCATATAATATATAAATTTAAGGTGCTTAAATAGGAGATGGCAACATTTATGATTCATTTAAAATATTATATCTAATTATTAATAAATAATATACTTTTTTAAAGAGATTTTTTTAAAGTTAGATATATTTTTAACTCTATAAGGATTAGGATTGCATATATTCCATGCAATTTTTTCTAAGGTTTCAACAACAGTGTGACAAGCAGCACATCCTGGTTTATAAAAATAAATAAAATCAAATCCTGATAATTCCAAATTATTAGCAGTTATAGTTTGTATTTTCTCTAATGGAATTTTAACAAATGTTTTTTCATAATATTCTTCTCTATTCTTATTTTATGGTTCTATATTTTAAATATTTAAATTTGTAGTTTAAATAATAAACTATTTCAATCTATTGACAGTTACTTTATCTCCAAAAGAATATCTTTTACATTATTTATATTAATCATAATGATATTAATTTTCTCCTAATTAAATCATATTGAATTATGTTGTATATGTTTGATTTTAATTAAGATCAAGTAATCTTACATCATCTGTAATACCATTATCAACTATTCCAAAATATGTTTAGATTAGATCAATATTATCTGAATAAATTATTCCAAATTATTATTATTATTCAATATTCATAGATTTTTTGACATTAATAAGTTTTTGAATAATCTTTTCATTAAGTTCATTCTGACTATGATACATCAAAATATATTGTACACCCATTTGTTTATAAATAAGTAATTAAGAATCCATTTATTATTTGTTAAAAACATAATTAACATAATTATTGGCTGTTAAAGTTAATCTTTAAACAAATTTCTATAAATTTTATTATTAAATAGACTATTCCTTAGATACTGAAATATAAGTAGATAAAGAATCATACTATTATCTCATATTAAAAGTATCTTTAATTTAAATATTAGGTTCTTTTTCTACTTTATTCATGTAGTATTCTTTGTCATTATGATTAAAGGAAGATTCTTTTGAATTAAAGATACTTGTTTATTTGAGCACAAAGATTTCTCCAATATCATTAATTGATAAATTGAATTCTTCAGCAACTTTCTTGTCTTTAATAATGTAATACTGAGCTTCTCTATTATAATCAAGAAATCTGAGCTCTCTTAATTATTCTTCAAATTATTAAGGATCATTTTATTAAGAAGTCTAAAATTCATTTATTTATTCTTATGTGTTTATTGTTGATGGAATGTAACTCAAGATAATCTTAGCATCCATTTTATCAATAAGATTGATAGCATCTTATTTATTGTTTAGAATTTATAAGGGAGTTAAGAAATTAAGTAATTTCAAATAATCTTCTTCTCCTTTTATTTTCAATAGAAGACATTTATTTTAATTAACTGCAATCAAATCATAATCATTAAAGTTGCCATCATAAATACAAAAATTAACTTACAAATTTTTAGGAAGATCTTCTATTATGTTTTTATTTAAAATTATGATTGTATTAGAGAATTGCTATGGATTTGCTAACAATATATTTATATCTTTTTCATTAATTATTTTGATTGTTTGCATATTAATTTATGAACATTTGAACTTTGATTATTAATTATAGATGAGAGTCAAACAAGTTGCAAGTTAAGTAAATTTTAACAATTTTGGTATTAATCTAATAGTTCTAAACATTATATATATTTTTGAGTTTATAATTAAATACACAACAAAATATTTTAATTAATAAAAACTAGGAATGGATTAATAAGTAATGGAGACAGCTAATAATTATGATATTATTATAAATGAAGTCATTACAAAATTGAAGAGAAATTCAGATAAAGGTTAATTGTAGATGAGTGAATCTGAAATCCAAACATTTAAGGATGTATTATTTGATTAAATTATCTAAGCTCTGGCAAAATCATCTGAAAGCAATTTAGGAAGGTAGAGAAATTAAATGTAAAACAGAAGTTTAAGTCTAATCTAAGAATTGTCAAGCTGACACTTTTTAAATTGACCATCCTATTGAAAAGAGAGTACAAGTAGTGAAATAAGTAATTATATTATATATATATCTTAGGAGGAAGATAATTAAGATGTAGATGTGAGTTTTGATGAAGATTCAGATGAGAAAATTCATCATAATTAAGATCTTGTTGATAACTATTAAAGTTAGAATTAGAAAATTAAAGAATTTGAAAAGAACAGAAATGAAAGTCTAAGAGAAAGAACTCTTTTTGATAAAATTAGAGAATTAGAATAACTTAAAAATTAAGTTAAATAGGAAGAATAAGATGATGATGATACTGAAGAGCCAAAAACATTTGATACTTAGATATTTGCTTAAAAGATTAATACTGATAGTATTGTTAGTCGTATTAGAGTAATCATTTATTATATATTAGCCCAATAAATTACAAAAAGCAAGTTTGGAAAATGTACTAATCAAAGAAAAAAACAATAAGGAAGCACTCTATCCATAAGCCCAATTATAATTTAATTTTAAAACAAACAAAAAAAAAAACTAATGATGAAATTGTATATATCATTCCTAAGATTTTAGTTACTCCAATTTTCTGTCCAATAATGACATATATATTTTAATCTAAACAATCATGATTATTACTCTTATATTTATTTATGCACATATATAATCAAATAATTTATATGTTCATTAAATTGTTTATTATCCTTCTGTTTATATCAATGCCATTAATTCAACTATGACATCATTTATTGGTGTATAAATTTAATTTTATTTTTCTAATGAATTTACACAAGAAATCCTAAATATATGTAAAACATTTTATCCCAACTTTTTCTTAATATTAATTTATACTTTATTCACTAAATTCCAATTAATTTTATCTGAATGAGTTTGAATTAAATAGAATAATAACTACGATTGATGAAACTGGGCTGCTTTCATTATTGGTGATTCTCCTCCCTTTCTTTAAAAATCAATTTTACTATTGTTTGTATATTAGGTGATGCCTTAGATTATATTAAATAATCCACTATTGCAAGATTGCCAATTGCACAAGCAAAGTGAAGTGGAGTTCTTCCAAACTAATTTTTGTTTCAAAATTTACTATATCTTATTAATCTATATCAGCTTTCTAAATTGCCACTAAAAATTGAACTAAATTCAAATTCCCATTGCTTGCTGCTTAATGTAAAGCTGTTATGCCTTAATTTGTTAATGCTACATTAACATTTATTTCAATTTTTGGTGAATTAAAAAATTACACTATTTATTCATTTTTATCTAATATCAATATTATAAATATACTTTACATAATTGCTAACCATAAAGCATACTTGAGTTATTCAACTTATTATTTTTAATCAGTCATTACAATTTATATAAATTATTTTAAATAATACAAATAATTACTTCTTCATATTGAATTTTTCAATAAATATTATAAAGCATTTTACATATTTTCAATGTATTTAAATAAATGGAAATAAATATTAAATTATCATTAAAATTAAATAATTTAATTTTTTAATAATGGAAAACAAAGAGTTAGAGTAAGAAATCAAAAAGAAAATATCAAATATTCCACTTAAAGATAGAGCAAAAGTTACAGCTCTTAGATACTATTTAAATAAATGTAAATAAGCTGATACAGACATGGAAACAACTTGTGATAATATACAATCAAAATATGATAAATTAAGTATGCCAATTTATTAAAGAGTAAGATTCATATTTATTTAATTAATTAGGCTGATGAAATAATTTTGGGTACAGCATAATTGAATGAATAAAATCTTGGTTTAGCAGCTAAATTATTATCAGAAGAAGAATTATAATAATTTAATCAAGCTCCTAAAGAATCTAAATCTATTCCTGATTATTGGTTAAAAGTCTTTAAAAATGCTGATTTATAGGAATTACCATTATCAGAAAGAGATGCTGAAGCATTCAAATTTTTATAGAAAATAGAATTCACATTAGCTGAAAATGATTCAGATTTCTTTCTTAAATTCCATTTTGCAGAAAATCCATTCTTTAAATAAACAATTTTAGAAAAGAAATTTTATTATGAAGATGATGAATTAATTAAAGTAGAAGGTACTAAAATTGAATGGAATGATGGAAAGAATTTAACAAAGAAATTAATTAAGAAGGTATTTATAATTATATATAATTTGTTTAGAAATAAAGAAATAAGAAGACAGGATAATTTAGAGTGATTTCAAAGGAAGTTGATGATGAGAGTTTCTTTTTATTTTTTAGATCAATTGATATATCCAATAAGGAAAAGTATGATAAATTACCTGAAGATGAAGTATTTATATAAATATAAAGTGTAGTAAATTTCATTGTAAGGTCAATTAGATGTTGATTAGGATGTAGGTAGAGAAATAGTTGATGAATTATTACCATATTCTCTTGAATACTTTTTAGGAATAAAGGAATTTAAGACTGAAGATGATGCAGGTGCTGAAGGAGAAGAAGATGATTCTGAAGAAGATGAAGAAGTAGAAGTATAAACTAAAGGATAAAATAAGGGAAAAGATAAAAAAAAGAAATGATTTATGTATATTAATTTTTATGTATTGTAAAATTAAAACAATCTCATGACTATAAGAGTGATATATATTGAATAATTAATGTAATGTATATATTAATAATATTTTAGTGTTGAATTTTAATAATAATTTAAATAAATGAGCAGAACTAATGATTTCTAAACTAAAGTTGAAAAGATTATTGAAAATGTATTTAAAACTATTTTATTATATATTTAGTATCTTTAGAAGCATAAAATATATAATATGAAAAATTCAATTAATCATGTTGATCCACCCATTTCTGAATTTGATATGCTCGAAAAATAAATGACTAGAAATAATATGATAGATGATTTAATTCGAAAGATTTAAGTGTTAGTAGATATTACAAATGATCATATTAAGATTGAAGTATTTTCATTAATAAATCTACATATAGATTGAGTAAAAGTTCATTCGATTTGAATAAGAAATTTCAAATTTAAGATCAATAATTATGATGCAATAAGATTATAATCCTCCTTAATTAACAATGACTCGTTCTGAAAATAACTCATTTATTGAAATGAGTGATTCGTTTCTAAATGATGAAAATGCTACTACTTTAAAAAAAAAATTGAAAGAAATTTAAGAATAGTTTACAAAGAAAACATAATAATTAGATAATATGCTTACTTTAGTTATAGATTAATAGTAAAAATGTTTATCAATATTAGATTGTAATTAAAATAATAAATAATTCAAAGTCCATCAATAATATAATCAAATGAATATTAAATGGATCTTAATTAATAAGCAGATAAAATATTGGATATAATTTAACCAAGTAATAATAATCTTATATATTAGAAATATAATTTTTGAATAAAGAACATTTTGAAGAAAAATATTAGTAATTTAAAAAAGTTATGGAAGAAATGAAGAAGAATGCAAAAGAGAAATAGTCTCTTTTAATGACAATTGTTGATGAATGTAAGAGAGATTGTGAAAAAATTGAAAAAAAATTTAATGAACATATTACTTTAGTGAATGCAGAAAAGAAGAAATCTTGGATTCCTTTCAAATGATTTATGTTATGTATAAAGTACCAAATGTGCTAAATTTTTCACCTTCTCAATAAATGAATACTCATTTTTCATTTAAATATGAATGATATCACTTATGTAAATCAAATTCAATAAATGCTACAACATGGTTCGTCTTTCTTTTAATTTCCATTATTTATCTCCTTATTCTAACTGGCAGTCTTAGTCACTGGTTTATTCATAGATTTAGCTTGCAATGCTTTTTTGACAGCCTCATCGAATACAACCTTCAAACCTTCCTAAGTTAATGCAGAACATTCATAATATTATAGATTTTGATTAGCTAAGACTTGTTCAGCCTATGAATAAATAATGTATGATTACTGAAGCCTTTTTAATGTGTTTGCTATTACTTTCATCTCTCATATCTATTTTATTACCAACAATAATTTTTGGGACTTTTTATAATTCATCTTGATTTAACTCAGGGTACCACTTTAAAATCATTAAATAAAATTACTTTTGTCAAAACATTATCAAATGAACTACTATCTGCCACAGAAAATACTATGAGGAAAATATCTGCAGATCCATATGATAAAGTTCTTAGTCTATTATATGTTTCTTGACCTGCTGTGTCCCATAAACTCAAATTTACCATCTAATTATCAACAGTTAATTGGGTAGTATAATTATCAAATACTGTGGGTACATATTCTGTGGGAAATTTATCTGTTGTGTAACTATATTCCTAATATTAATTCTTACCTTAAAAGTATGCATGTTTTACCAACACTTCCATCTCCTACTACAACCAATTTAATTTAAACTGACTCCTATGAACCTTGCATTATTAATTTTTATTTTATATTTTAAAATTCCATATTAGATGATCCTTAAATTATCTAATATATCCATTTATGTATACATTTATTATTTAATTCTACAGAGTGAAACTACATAAATAATTATAGAAATCTATTAAAATAATAACAAAAGTTAAGATAATATTATAATTGACACCAAGAATATTAATTTTCTTTTATTTTTTATAAACTAATACAATTTTTTAATAATATTGTTTTGATTAATGTCTATTACTTAATTAAAGAACAAATTATAAAGATTTAAAGGAAATATTAAAATTCTTAAAAGAAGACAAGATAATTATAATATATAATTAGATGGAAATTTATATTTTATAATTATCTTAATTGAATTAAAAATAAATCAATTCAATTAAGATAATATTCCTTAAATAAATGATGATCTATCTATCTCATATTGAAGATTAATTTCTAAAAGTGGATAGAATTTTGTATTCTCAAGTTCTAAACTATTTTATTGATAAATTATAGTCATTATTAGAATTTAAAATATCCTAAAATTTTCTATTAGATTTTCTTGGAATAAATAAATAATTCAATATCTATGATTCTTTTTGACAATTTGAGATTTATTAGAAGGATAATTAAATTAATTTAAAATTAGTGTTATTTTTTATTAGAATTAATTAATTGTGAAAGTATAGAATCTCTTCTATTTAATAACATTTCATAATTTAAAATCAATTCATTATAAATAGCTTGGGCAATTTAATAAATAAAAAATCCAACTCTATTATTTGAATATTAATAAACAATAATAATAATTTTAGAAAAGCAAATCAATTTCCTTCTAATCACCACTCCTGAAAAAATCTCATTTTAATATATACATTCGGTAAACTACTTATATTATTTTGACTTATTTATTTTTCTTTATCACTTTATACTGAAAGGATATTTTTTTTGCTAATATCTCCTTATGTTTATAATTAAATTAATAATTACCTTCCATTATCATTGATGATCTATAAAATAATAAAAGAACTTCTGTAGATATTAATTAAATAGAAATATTTTTGAAATAATTTATAATTTGATAATAGATTTTTATTAAATTATGATAATTTATCCTTTCTACTTTTTTAATATAATCTTCTTGATATTTTCTTTTATATTCTGCATTCTATTCTTAGGGTATCAATCATATATGAATATTCTAACTCTTACAACTATTAGAGATACAAAAAACTATAAGATTTAAATACTCAATAAGAGATATATACGTTTACGTATATTAATTATTTATTATAAATTAACTTAAATAATAAAATGATTATATGAACTACAGTATAGAAATACAATTCTTAATATAATATTTGTTAAATATAATCCATTTCGATTTTATAAAATCTATAAAGTATTATGATGAACGTAATTTTAAGAATATTCTAAGTTTCAAAATAATAAATGAAGATGATTTTATATAGTATCCAAATTATGAAGTTTAGTTTTTTTTCAAATATAAACTCAATTTTTAACTTTGTATATTAAGAAGATTAAATTTAAGTTTAGAAAAGTAAAAGTAAAATTAAAAATTAAAGATATTGAAAGTGATCTATAAAATATTAAAATATTGAATAGTTTATTGAATATAGAAATTATGATAAGAATAGTCATATTTAATCATTTATTTATAAATAATACAAGATTAATTTTAATCCTATATTTAGATAAGTAATTCTTAAATTAGATTGTATTTTGTATAAATTAATTATTATTTTAAGAATCCAAATAAAAGAGTGTTGATTGAGTAATGTTCTTTTAAATGTATCTAGAAATCTATAAATTTTTTTATAAATAAATGAGATTAATAAATTAAAAATATGAAGAAAATTTCTAACTATATCAATGCATTGATTGGTAAAGGAAACACTCCATTTTTATAGAAGGTTAATTCAAGTTCATTAATGAATAATACTCCAATAATTTTGATGACAGATATTTTATATTTAATTGAATGTTTTGAAGGGTATGGACCAGAATGTCAAGGAATTTATTTGACAGGACAAGAATATTTATAATAATTTTTTCAGGAACTATCTTAAAAACCTTTGAGTGGGTTGATGGCAGTAAAAATTTCATTAACAATCCATTTGGTTTTATATGAGTTTTAAATAGGGGAAATTGTGGCTGAAGAGATGATATCAAGAGATTATAAGCTATAAGTAATTGAAACATAGAGTCATGGATAATTTGTATAGAATTATTTGATGTACCTATTCAAGTTGGCTTAGAATTTGAAATTGTTTTATTCATGTAAAATTGGATAATATCCAATCTTTGATTAGGAAGTAACATATACAAATTATAGTGAATCTACAAGAGAAAATCAAATAAACTAATTTAAAATGTTCAAAAAGTAATAAAACTTTAAGGATACTAATCTTTAATATCGTGAATATTAATAGAAGAAACTAGAAACACATTTATAAAATAAGACTGGATACATAACGATAGATTAAAAAATCCTCTATTTATTTAAATTATTAAATTTATTGAATCAATGCATATAAATATTGAATTTGTGTATAGGTGTGTGTTAAATTGAATAATAAGATATAAAAAATATATATATAGAGATTAGTTGTGTATTATGGAATGATACTATGGTGATGTATAAATTTGCAACTTTAGAGGTATACATATATATATTTATATAATTCATGATAGATATGCAAAATTCTAGATTCATTTCGTTTCTTGCCTCTTTAATAATTATAATCATTATAATAGGTATATTGGGCAACAACTAATTCTACAAAGAGTATTAAGTGGATATATAATAATAGAAAGTATTTTGATAGTTAAAACATTGTGAAATAGCCATATTGGTTTGAAGAGAATAATCAAATTATTAGAGATATATAAAATAGTATAATTGATAGTAAGATGAATTCAATTCCAGAGTAAAAAAATTATTTATTAATATAGATCTTGTCGTTAATTGAAATTATAAACTCCTCAAAGTTCTAAATTAAAATCTCCAATGCAAATTTAATAACCTTATTCAGGAAGAATATTAAATTAAAGAAATCAACCATTTTTTATAGCACATAAGAAATTATAGGAATCAATATCTTAATATACAGAGATAAAGGATTAAAGTTAATAATAAAATAATTAAAAGAATAATAATATTAAACATGCAATATATCCAATATTTTCAGATGAAGAGATGTAATTGTCTCCAAAAATTTAATAATAAGAATTAATAAAATGATTAAAATACTAAATATAGAAATTAATTATTTATACAATCAGATGTAATACAATTACTCATTTCTATTATTAAATGAAATAAGAGGCAAGTAATCCTTGACCAACCTTCATTTCACTAAAATTTCTATTTTAATTAATTCCCTCTTATTGATTTATTTTAATTTTAGTTTCAAATAAAGACATTGTATCTTCTAAAGACCAAACTTTAGTGAATTCTATATTACTATTAAATTATTCTTCTATTTCTTAAGGTATTTTTCTAACATTATTTCTCATTTAAATTTGATTATTCCTTTTTTCAATTATCATTTTATTATCAATTTCAATATTGTATATATCTTTTAAATAAATAGCCCATTAATTTTATTCTAATTTAGTTTTAATATCTTTAATTTAATTCATATTTAAATTAGATTTATAAGATGACATAATTTATTAACTATAAACACTAGTTAATTGAGTAATCTAACTTACTCTAGTACTTGATGTAAATGTTGATAACATTCTTATTTTATTATAATCACCTTCAATAATACTTTATTATTTAGCAGATGAATATTAATAATATGAAGGTTATTTTATAACAGATTATAATGGAATTTAAGATTAATCTTATTCATTTTAAGAAATTTTTTCTTCTTTTAAAATTTCACAGATTACATTTTCTAAAAATGAATCATCTCTTTCAACACGATATGTTAAATCATCTGGCTCATTCAATTACAATTATTAAAAATTATTACCAATTATTTTAGATTCTAAAATATTATCTTCAAAATTATGATTTGTAGATTCTACTATATATTAATTTAATTAACATGAAAGTACATGTTATCTAAGATTAATTTTAACTTTTTCATAAAGATATTCAATTCCTCTAGGTAACAAACAAACTTATACAGTCCATTAATTAAGAATTTCTTACATAAAATTAGAATCAGCTTAGTAATTTAATATTAGATATATATACCTATAATATAATCTTTGAAAACTAAATAATTAGTAGATAATTATTAAGATGCTTTACTATAAAGTTCATTAGCTTATGAAATTACTATATCTAATATTATTCCATAAAGAGATCCAACTTTAACATTTGAGTGTCCAATCCAATTTATACTTTATTCATGTAATGACAAATCAAGTATATTAGAAGTAAATTTATTTAAAAGACAATTTATAGCACTAGGACAATATTTAAAATAATCATCATTAGATCTTTAACCAATTAATTATTATTCATTTGTACAATGATCTTTCATATAAAATTATTATAAGACAACTCTTTTTTATTTTAAAAGACTTTCAAATGAAGTAAATAATTCATTTTCAATAGAATCCATTTATGAATTTCTAGTACCTTTTATTACAATTTATGACCACAATCTTGCAAGAGCACTTGTAAATGTAATTTTAGGAAATTATGTAGTAAAATATTCTTCAAATATCAAATCTATTTTATTAAATATTTTTTTTAAAGCTCTATTTAATGCCCACATCATTCCAACATAAGATTCCCATAAAATAGTATACATATTTAAAAACATAGCTGGATTTTTTTCTGTTTTTGTAATCATCAAAACATTTCTACTAAATAAACATCTTTAATAAATGAAATTGAATATTTAAAGTAAGAATCTTAACAAAAGAGGTATATTATCAGAATCTAATATAGTAGGATCCTTTAGAAAATTATCAATTACAACCCATCTTAATTCAAATAATAATTAAGTGTGTTTCATATTTGAAAAATCAAATTTAGACAAACAATCTTAATAAATCTTATCTGTTAATTCATCTAATAATGGAACCTTTTCAACAGATGTATAATCAGTGGTTCTTTAAGCCAATTCTAATTGAAACCAGCTAGTTGTACATTACTTAAGAATATCATCTGTCAATAAAGGAATAGGCATAACTGGATTACGACCTATTTCTAAGATCTTATCAACCAGTGGATATTCTATATTAAATGTCTTTTATATCTCTTCTTCTATTATTCTCATTTATTATCTAATTGTTATTCATTTAGTATTACATGCTTCTCTAGAAACTCAAATATATTCTAATCCAGGATTCATCTTAGTTAGTTTCTATACTCAATAATTGAGAGTAGTATACGGAAAGAAATCTCTAATGTAATCCATATTCTACAAAACATCTGAGCTGTAGTTTGCGTAAATAGAATTAAGTAAGAAAGTTTGAATATATGTTACTACTCATCTCTACCATGAATTTTAGTTTTTTGTTCACTAGCTTAAGTTAAAAACATTCTCGTATTGTCAAGAAATTTAAGAAATACTGTAAGATTTTAATGGGATTATTTGGCATCTCTTCCTCGCTCATTTTTCTAAAATATCTGCATTTCATTATACGTCAGGATATCTTGACTTTATAATTTCATGTTTTCAGATAGACTTTTTCTTAGCTTTGAATTGTCATTTGATTCTTTTGATGCCAATTAACTCATGCACATACCAATTAGATAATCTCTTTTTCTCAGTTTCTTCTTTTCTAATTATCCCTATTGTTGACTCTAGTTTGCTCCCATTTAATTTAATTGATTGTATTAAATACCTATCTATTTAAATACTTTTAACACTAAAATCCATATGGAAAACCATGAACAAAAACATTATTATGTTCCCAATAATCTATCCTTATTTACTAACTAAAGAGTATATTTAATTTTTATAATCATTAAATGGATCAAGTCGATATGATATAAGATGATCAATAATCTCCATTACATATTAAACGATAACTTGATATTGATATATCAAACAGAGTAGCATACCCAATCAATTTGGATTAACAAAAAAAAGAAACACCTAAAACAACAGAGAGAACTATTAAACATCTTGAAATTGATGAAGTACAAGTACTAACAGAAACAACATCAAAAACATAAATTGATGTATCCTCTCCTAGAGTACCATTCCTAACTCATTCCTAAATTATGGGAATGCATCAAGAAGAAGATGAAGTCCCTTTTAATAGATCTGCTTTAAATTATCCACTTTCAGAAATTCCTGAAGAACTTACACCCAGTATTATGCCACATGTACTTCATTTAATACTATTCAAGATATCTAAGGTATCTAATTAAGAGGTTATCATTGATAATATGAGTATAGTAAATAGTTAGTAATTGAAATTTAGTAAAAAATCTTCTGAAACTAATGTTGTATCAATTATCAATATAGATGGTAGTAAATTGAAAGAGGAAGTAATGTTATTTATAATTATATAAAAATAGTTAAAAGAACATATAAGTTTGTTGGAATCTAAAGTTTAAGAATTAGAGAAAGAAAACATCATTCTTAAAAAGAAATCTAATTAAGAGAAAATTAAATATATTGAATTACAAATGGAAACAGAGTATAAATTAACATCAATAATTGAATAATTTTAAGATTAAGAGATAAATTATAAAAAATAAATTGATATACTTAAAAATGATCTTAATAATGCAAAATTATAAATTCATATAATAAACTAATAGATTCCACATAATCAAGTATAATAATTATCATAATCATAAATTTAATTATCATATAATAATATATCTTAATAATAATATAATAAATAATCAACCTTATCATAGTCATTTAATGAATAATTAAACAAAAATTAAAAAGATTTATATCTTACATAAATTTAATATGAAATTGTACATTCTAAATTAATCAAAATCATAAAGAAGATAGATTAATAGATTGATATTAATAAAAAAGATTTATTTGATCTCTTATAAATATTAGAAAACAAAGTTTAATAAATAGTAAATAGTGAAGAAGAGGAAAAAATTGATGAACATAGAACCTTATTATCAACATTAAAAATTGAATTGGGAGAAATTAAATAAATTAGAGGATAATTATCTAGAGTATTTTATGATCATGATCAATTTATCTAAAAGAGAAAGAATGAAAGTATAAACGATTTAAAAATTAATGAGTTGACTCTCTAAATCTAAGAATTTAAGTAATAAAAATTAGAATTAATTGAATAGACATAAAAATAATAGGATTAAATTAAGTAACAGAATTAAATAATTATTGAATTGCAATAGAAACTAAGTAAAATATTATTTTTTATTAAGATAATTCATCTTAAACTGATACACAAAGAATGCAATCTTAATTTATTCGTTAACTTTAAACAAATCCTATTAAGAATATCAAGGAAAGTATAAAATAGAAATAAGAGTTTTCAAAGTAAAAATTTAATAATATTTAAGAAAATAAAACTTAAAATTATAAAATTCTCCAATGAGTCGATCTGAAAATGCTTCTCCATCATTAAAATTCCTGAATTCCCCTTAGTAAAAATAGTTATAATATTAGAAATTCTAATCGTTTTTCTACACATTAAAAATAGTAGAAAGATGATAAATAGTAAGAATTCTGTTATTAAACATCTGATTTTAGTGTTTATTATAATTCAATTCATTAATCAACAACTTAGAATTTTAATAATAATGTTAATTCAAATAGTGAGATCATTTAGAAATTAATTGAACAATTTAAAGGAAATTCAATTTTTGCATAAAAAATATCGGGTTATTCAAAAAGAAATTGAAACATATGAATTTTTAAGTCTTTGCAAATTGCATTCTCAAATCTATTGAAGCATTTAATAATTAATCTAATTATTTTAAATATTAAAATTAAATCATATGTAGATGAAAAGAACAATAAAGATTTAGCCAATCAATATTCCTGGTCAAGATGCTCCCATAATCTTAGAAACAATCGAAAGTGATTTATTTTATTTAAAAGCTAAAAAAAAAGTAGCAGGTAATTTAATTTATGTATTTTTAGAGACTTTAAAGGGATATAATCAAGATGAATTTGTATTTTATTCTAAATCCAAAAATATAGTAGTTCATGAAGATGATAGAGTATCAAAGTAAGAATTATATTTTAAGAAATAGATTATTTTCGAATAAGGATTAAAATGAAATTGAGTTATATTTGACATCTGATTTAATTAAGAAAGTTGTTTCAGGAGGACAAGGTGGAGGATAATTTTTTTAAGTAGCTTAATAAGTAATGGGACAGCAGTAGAGTAAGGATAATAAGTTGGAAAATGAAATAAGGGAATTAAAATCAGAAAATTTTAAAATATAAAACAATGCTAAAATAGAATAAATAGAATTAAATGGTCAAATTGCAGAATTGTAAGAATAAATAGTAGAATTAAAAAATGATTAAAAATCTATAAAAAAATGGTATGATGAGAAAGTAAAATAGGAAGAAGAGTAGAGAGCAGAAATAATATAAAAATATAAAGACATGATAAATGCTAATAATAATTTAAAAAATGAAATGATGTAAAAAGACAATCAAATTGAAGAATTATAATATCAATTAAAAGCTGTAGAAGCAGAGAAAAAATTCAATGAAGATTAATATAGAAGAGAGAATGAAATGGGAAGATAGAAATCTACAATTGTAAATGATAGTTAAATAACAGAAATTAAACGTGAATCTGAAAATTTCAAAAGATTATATTAAGAAGAATAATTTGAAAGAAAAAAAGATAAAGAATAGATGATTTTATTTTAGAAATAATGTTAAGAATTTAAAAATAAATTATAGTAAAAGAGTGAAGAATTAAATCAAGCAAGAAGCATTGCAGAATAAGAAATAGCAAATTTAAAAGAATAATTAAAAACATTAGAAGAGAAATGTGAATAATAAAAAGAAACAATATCATAATTAAAAAAAGATGTTACTGATTAAACTAATAAATATATGAAAATTTAAAGATAATAAAGTGAAGCAGAAGCAGAGTTAAGTTTATAAATAAAAACTGTTAATAAATTAAAAGAAGAAGCAAAAGAATAATTATAAGAAATAGAAAGAAAAGATTAAATTATAAGGGATATTAAAAATACAAAGGATGCATAATTAAATAAGATGAATAAATCAGAAGAAGAAAAATAAGATAGAATTAATTAGTTAGAAAATGATTTAAAAAAAACTAAAGAAGAATTAAGAAGAACAAAAGATAATTTATCATTAGAAATTTAATAAAAAGCAGCTGATATTATTAAATTATAAAAAGAATTATCAAATTTAAATGAATAAAGTAATCTTAATATGTAGAAAGCAAATTAGGAAATATAAAAATTATTTAATTAATTAGATAAAGAAAAAGATAAATTAAGAATTGAAGAAAATAAAAGAGTTTAATTAGCCAAGAGAATTAAAGAAAATGCACTAAGAAAGGTAGGAGATGGAAAAATTATTTCACCTACAGAAGCTGTTTTTAGAAATATGTCAAATCCTTTTGAATTTTCAAAGAATGAGAATATAATGACTAATGATTGGACTGCTCAAGTTGAATTAATAAAAGTGGATACAAATAAAGCAATAGAGAGTTTAACAAAGTTATAGGAACCTAATATATCATAATTTGTAAATAGAGAACCTCTTGGTAATTGGTAAATAAAAAGAAGTTTAGGAATTGTAATATTAATATATATATTCTAGAATGGTGATGGTACAAAAAGAAAAGGATTTTTGATGTAAGTAGTGAATAGTGATGGAGATCGTTTTACACATTAAATTTTCTTAGTTAAAGAATTGGTTGGATTTGAGAGAATAGTTACACTTGAAAAGGCTTTATATGTTGCTTAAAATTTATTAATAGCAAAAGTCTTAGCTGAACATTTCTAAGAAAAGATTTAAAAGGCTGCTTCTGAAAAGCCTCCTTGCAAATTTGCTTATAAGGAACCCTTTTTATTGTAAACAGAAGGAAGTAATCAAAATATTATTTATTCCTTTTTTAGATTATTATATAGCAGAAAGATTAATAAAAGGAACATTTACAAAATTCAATGGAGAAGGTGATTCTATGGATAAGGATCAAAAAGTTACAAGTTATTTTAATGCATTTTCACTTTTCACATATTATGCAACTCAAAAAATGTTGATGGTATCAAATATTTAAGGTAATTTTGATGGTGCTGAATTTATATTGTATGATCCAATAGTTTCATCACCTGAAGGCATAATGGGAGATGAAGATTTAGCAGAACCACATATATTATAATTTTAGGATAATTATAAAGAGAACCCTAAAACTTATGGAAAGAATTATTTAACAAGTTTAGGGATAAAAATATGATAGAAAAAATGAAATATCATTTAGAGATATTATATCCAATAAATAGAATAATTTTTAATCTTTAATTATATATTTCTATTTGTAGAGTATTTTTTTTATATATAAGTAAATTTTCTTAAAAAAAAAATTTAATTAATTTAATTACAAATAAAAATGATAAATTAAAGAGTATACATTAGAGCAACAACTAGAAAACAATAGAATTAACAAATTGATGACTTTTATGGAGAATAATAATATGATGATATAGAATAATATGATTCATTATTGTATAAAAGAACTTAAAAAGAATATTTAAATGAAGAATTTAAATCAAAGAAAACTCTACATCACTTTGATATATCAAATCAATAGTGGAATATAGTATTTTAATAAAATCCTTAAAATTAATTGATAGAAGAAAATATTATATCCAGTGAATAAAAAATAGAATAGAATAATTAAGAAAAATAAAAAGTCTTCTAATTATTCAAAATTGAGGATTTTTCAGTTCTTGAAATAAACGAGATAAATTACATAGAATAATTATAAGTATAAAAGGATTATTAAATGGTTGGTAAAAAGCATAAATAAAATATAAGCAAAAAAATATATAAATTTGCATGTTGATGTTTATAATTACTTTATATATATAAATAATTAATTAATCTATAAAAAAAAAGAAAATAATAATCAATATTAATTTATTTTTTATGTATTTAAATTGTGCTATTATATATCATAATCATATAAAATATTTCAATATAATCATAATAAATAATCCTTTATTTATTTACCAATACTTATCTAAAATTTCATAAAATATAATAATGATTATATATCTATTTAGTAAAATACTTTCAAATATTCATAATTCTTTTAATTAGTTATATGAATAGTATGATTGTGTATTTAGATTTGTATTTTTATTATAAAAATCCAGTTTATTTTATAGTTATCAGATTAATTATGATAAATTGTTTAAACGGAAAATCAAAAAATAATTAAGGATGAATAAAGGTTTTACTATTAAAATGATAATAAACTTGATTCTAATAAAGATAAACATTAATATTGAATGATTTTGAAGTAGTAGAGTAAAGATGTTTATTGTTATTAAATGTTTAATTTACCTACTACAAAGTGATTGATTATGTGCTCTAATTAATTAATATTTTGAGTCCCATTAATTTTAGTAACGACTTAACAACAATAATATACATCACAATGATTAGTTTAGTTAATAATTAAGCAGCTGAACAACCAGCCAATCATAAACAAAACAATAAAAAGTATTGGAATAATGAAGAAGATATAAAATTGAAATCTGCGGTTAATTTACATGGATCTAATTGGAAAGTTATAGCAGAATATCTTCCTGGAAGAAATGCTTCATAATGTGCTTAAAGATGGAAAAGAATAAAACCTAAAGAAGTAAATAATTATAATATAATAGGATGAAAGAAATTAGAAATGGAGTAAAGAAGAAGATGAAGCAGTACTTAGACTTACTTAGAGTTTTTAGTATAATTGGAGATTAATTGCTCATCATATTCCAAATAGAACTAGTAGACAAATTAGAGAGAGATTTGTTAATCATTTAGATCCAAATATCATCAAATCACCTTGGACTGAAGAGGAAGATAAATGGATATGGAATATGTATTAAAATATTGGTACTAAATGGTCTGATATGTCTAAATAATTGCTTGGAAGACCTGTAATTATAAATTTTATACTAAATTTAGGAAAATATGATAAAAAACAGATTTTATTCTTATATTCGAAAATAATATGGGAAAATATAAAATCCTTACTATGTAGTACCTAATAATGTGAGAATATTAGAAAAGGAATAATAAAGAAAGAATAATATAATTAAAAAAAGGAGAAAATTTAGAAGGTTTCATTAAATTAAAACGATATAATAAATTAAATAAGGTAAACAACAGCTTTAATAAGAAAATGAATAATAAATTTAATAGGAACAATTCTTATAAAATTAATATCCATATTTGTAATAATAGTATTAATCATACTATCATTTTATACAAACTGAATATTAATAATTACTATACCCTAAATTAATTTATCCTTATTAATTTATTAATTCTTCTAATTTAAATCCAGAGTTTAATGGATAATTAAATCCATAAGATTTATTGAACTGTAAAATAGAATAGATGAATTAATAAACTACTTTTGATTTAACTAAGTTACAAAATAATGAAATCTAAATGACAACTTTAAGTCTTTCTAAAATTGGAGTTAATTAAATTTAACTATAATAAATTGATATCAAAGAAGAAGAGGATAATGATAATCCTAAAAATTAAAATAAGAATATTGAAAATTCAACATACCCTCTTTAGATTAGAGCTGATATTTTAAAAGAAATTCAAAAAAAGAATTTTGAGAATGAATTTAAATAATGAGATTGTGTTGAATTATTAGATTGAATATATATATATATATTGATTTTGGTATCTTATTTAGATCAAATTCCTACTTTTGATTTAACATATTATTCAAAGCTTGGTTGTGTTAATAAACCAAGAGCTTGTTTACTGATTTCAATTTCTTTGTTATATTCGGTAACGGTTCTATTGTAAAGATCAGTTTCTGAAGCATAATTATCATTTTCAGCTTATAATTAAGCTTAAAGAGTAGCTCTATCATCTTTTCTTTATCCAACATAGACAATGGTTTCTCCTAATTTTTCTATTATATAAATTAAATATATATACATTCATTAGCAGCAATTTCAGAATTTTTAATAAGAACTGCTCTTTAGAATTCTGCAAATTCTTTTTCTAATTAAGCAACTCTTTCAGTGAATTTAGATTCAGCAGCACTTTCATCAGCAGTTTCTTGATTTAATGTGTCAACAAATTAAACTCTTAATTCATTGAAAATTTTAACCAATTATTAGACTGATCCTTAATCAGCAAAGTTTTATTCAGTTGCTAATTCAAGTAAAGCTTTAATGATAGGAGCAAATGAAGAATGATTTTAGAAGGATGTTTAGATTCTTCCCAAGTTCGATTAAACTCTCTTGAATTAAACAAGTGATGGATTAGCAATCTAAGATAAGAGTCCTAATGATTCATCAACTGCACCAATAGCTTCATTGATTTCAGCAATATTAGATAAGAATTATTCATGTTATTTCTTTCTATTAACTGTTTCTTAATCAAGTATTCTTCTATTTTCTTCAATATTGATTTTTAATTAAGCTAAAGCATCTTAGAATCTTTATTTTTATGGAATAAGAACATTATCAATAAAATCTTCACCATTAAATATATCTAATTATATTTAAAAAGAGATAACCTCTATCAGCATCTTAGATTTCTTATTCATATCTTGTTACATCTCTATTATGTTCATCTGTTCTTCTGGAATAAGCTTGATGAATGTCATCTAATTCTTCTTCTAATTAATCAATTAATTAATTGATGGCTTCAACTAATTCTGTCAAAGCACCACCACTTCCCAATTCTACTTCTGCAAACTCCAAAATAAAAGAAGCCCATTTAGATTCTTTTAATTTACTCATAACTTCTTCTTAGTGTCTTTCCATATTGAGTTCTACACTCAATACACTTAATACTAAACAAACCAAGATTCCTGTTCTCATTTATTTTAATTAATAAAAACGACTATTCAAATTTTATGATTAAATGTAAATAATTAATATTATTTCAATTATCTCATAATCTATGTAAATATTCTCCTCCTTTTGTTAAATATCTAATCCATTTATTTGTTTTATATCCAGCTTTTTCCATTACTTTCAAAAATCTAATTCTTAATCCACTTGCTGTGAACATTGGAATCTAAAATTCCATTCTTAAAGGTGGTTTACTCCATACTTAATCTTTATTTGTAGCACCTAAATTTATTTCACATCTAAAATATTTAACAATAAGTTATACCTTAATGAAGTTTCAAAGTCTCCTTAAAATTTCTTGATTCTCCAAATCACACTTTATTCTTCTACTTCATATCTTGCTTTTCCTAATGCTGTTGCAGTTATTGCATTCACAGTATTTTTAGGAACAGGAACTTTTACTAAAACATTTGTACCATAAATATTGTTATCATATATTGATTTAATCTATTTTCAATATATATTTTACTTTCAACCGTATTTCTAATTTATTATCAATAATTTCACTATAAAATACATTCACTTTAAATGGAATATTAATATTCTCTGAGATCCTATATGATATTAATTAGCAATGACCATCAGGAGGAATAAAAGTAATTGTTCTATCCTTATCAAATTTTGGTAATCTTATACAAGGATGAAATTTCATATCATCAATAGAAATTCCAATAGTTTATCTAGTTTATTTTTATTATTTTCCCATTAACAATTTATCATTCATTCCAATCTAACATTCTGGCATCCCTGTAAGTTTACTTTTTAATTCAATTGAACCAACAACTTCAGCCCTTAATACAGTGTCTTTTGCTGAAATCAATAAATTCACAGATTCAATGATATCAAGATATAATTCATTCTTTTCATAATAAAGTCCTATTGGTCTCCATGATACAGCACCAGTAAGAGTAAATGTTAATTATCTTAATTTTTCTATGTTTATGGTTGTTTCTTATTAAACTCCTCCTTCTTAAATAAACTATAGATATAATAAATACTAACTTTTTATAATAAATTTGGATCTGCAATTTATGGTATTCCATAATCAAGTACTTCATCAAGAATCTCATAAATAAGAACAAAACTCTTTTTTATACAATTTTCATCTAGATTACCTTAAAAGTAAGATTTACAAATTTTTGACTTAAAATCAAAAAATATTAATACCAATTGATATAAAAATTCAAGAACCATAGCAACATTTACATCTGTTTTAGTGGTTGCTAAAATAATGATGTCTTTGATTGAAATATGAATGAAAGATGTTTCTATGAATAGAAAATATAGATACAATCGATATTTATTATTGGAAATTCTTTATTTTCTTTTGTAGCTATCATTTTGGCACAAAACTAAGTTATTTCATTTCTGCTTATATCATCCTTATAAACTCTATAAATTAGGATTTCTCCTTTCTAATTGATAAAAGAGAGAGAACTTATCATTAAATAGTAAAATATTCATAATAAAACTTATTATTTATCTTCTTAATCATGTAAGAATTCATCATATTTGTTTCATTTTAAATAAATCAAATTGAAAATTCATTTAAGTAATTCATCTAATAAAAATATTATATTATTAATTTATTAATAATAATAAATATTATATAATAAATCTTACAATTTGATAATTTGTTTCATGAAGGAGAAATTTTCAGGGGTTCAAGAAATTTAAGAAGTGTTTTAAAATAGATACACTAATCCTTAATTAGTAGGATTAGGAGCATTCTCTTAAGTTTATAAATGTGAAAATAATAACAAAGAATTTGTGGCAATCAAGGTATTTCTTCTACTTTTCTATAGATAGTTGCTTTGAATAGGATAGAGAAAGAGGTCATTCCGTATATGATAAATGAAATAGTCTTGCTATAGTCTAGTTAAAATAATAATGTAATTTAATTAATTGAGGCATTTTAAACTCCGAATAGATTATATATAGTATTAGAGGTATATTGAGAATATCATAATTTATTAGTATTGCTTTATAGATTTGGAGAAAATGATACAAAAATATTATAGAAGGTGTTTACCTGATGATTTAGTAATAATTATATTACGGTAATTGGTTAATGGATTACATCATTTACATAAGAATAAGATCATTCATAGAGATATAAAATTGGCTAACATAGGAGTTAAATTATCTACAGATGATGAATAGAAATTGAAATAGAATAATGATCTAAGTGTCTTTAGGAATGCATAATACAAACTTTTGGATTTAGGTTTGGCTAAATAATTAATTAATGATGATCTCACTAATACATATGCTGGAACTGAATTAAATATGGGTATTTATATTTATTAATAAATAATAGCTCCTGAAATTCTATTAAGGTAACCATATTCAATAAGTGCTGATATGTATAGTTTGGGAGTTTCTATATTTTAATTAATAACTGGAGAGATGCCATATAAAATTGTTAGAGGTTCTTTAGAGATTGTAAAATATGAGACTGCCAATTTTCATTTAATAAAAAATGAAACATTAAGGACAATTGTTTAAAAAATGTTAAAATATTATCCAAAAGATAGATTAAGTTGGCCAGAACTTTACAAATATTAATTTTTTAATATAAAGAGAGGTTAAACTTAATCAATATTGGATTTGTAATTAAAAAATAATCAAATTATTTATAATACAATAGAAAATGAAAATAGAGAAATTGAAGAAGAGAAATTTTATGATTGTGAAAATGATGAATAAATAAAATAAGATAAAATTAAACTTTTATCTGAATTAAATAATTCATTTACTTCTTTATATGTTTGCAAGAACTAAATGAATTAATAACAAATTACAAAATTAAAGTATTGGAATAAACTTTATAATATACATATTCTTTTGAATAAATTAAGTAGCAATATTGTTATACTAATAAATTCAATTAATTATATGGCAAATGATCTAATGTATTATAGTTTAAACTCTGAATTTAATAGTTATATTAATTATCTTTGTGATCTTAATCAATAAACTTATAATTATTTGAAATTAGACATAAATAATAATTTTTCTGAATATAACACTTTTTAAGATTATATTACTTTAAAAAATATTTTAGAATCTGATGAAGTGTAATTAAATATCTAAGAAAATAAATAAAATGAAATAATGTTATTTAGTGATCTATGTTGTTTTGCTAGAAAATAATTTAAATTATTGAGATCTTTAGATTTAAAAGTATTCCCATTTAAATCTGAAGAATTTTAATAATAAACTATCAATAACAATATTCTAATTTATAATTAAATCTTAGGTATCATGTATGATTCTCATTACAAAATATGTGAAAATAATTCTTAATAGTTTAAATTGATATAGAGTTAAATATATAGGATATTAATTGATTTAGCTAGAGTTAGAGCTATGTTTGGAATTAATTGGTAAGGAGGAGATCAAAAAATAAATGAATTGCGTCTTGAAGACTATCAAATTGAACCTGATTTACTGTCAGAATTTTTGACTGAAATCTTATAATTCTATTAACTGAGATATGATTAATGAAATAGTAGAAATCTAATTTTTCTATTATTTATTATTATTAATATTATGGCTACAAAGTAACAACCAATAATCATAGAAGAAGGCTATGCTTACACTAAGACATATATTGCGAATCTTAAATGTTAGGATAACAGCTCATACGTTTTGGGATACATTAATTATAATACTCCATAATAATAACCATGTGCTGTGAAAATTAATGATTTAAATTAAGAGGTAATAGACAATTTATTAAAAATAGGAAACTAGAAA